AATAATAATAATAATAATAATAATAATAATAATAATAATAATAATAATAATAATAATAGTAAAGTTGGAAGGGACCTTGAAGGTCATCTAGTCCAACCCCCTGCTCAGGCAGGAAACCCTATACCATTTCGGACAAATGGCTGTCCAGTCTCTTCTTAAAAACTTCCAGTGTTGGAGCATTCACCGCTTCTGGAGGCATTACTATGTTAATTTTACTACACAAGTATGCTGATTTTCATCTCTTGTACCATTTAAAAGGACTATTATTCATAATTGAGTTCATAACATGAAATTGCCTTAAACCAGCCTTTTAACTTTCAATCAGGTGAGCACATTTAAAAATGCGTATGTTCAAATAGAAACTCGCCCTGCAAATATATGTGTATTTTCTTTCAACTTACAACCAAGTTCAAATTATTTTGAATAAAAGTTATTTGTCACAGAAATTCTGTTTTCTCATTATAAATACAGCTTCCTACAAAATCAGGCAAGAAGCTATTTATAGGAAGTTCAAAGCAAACAGAGTGATAAATTATACAATGAAATTGTAAATTAAAATCAATATGCAATTTAATCTCTAAATTTCTCACAGAACAGAGTACTATTTCTCTCTTAGACATGAGTTCCATTCTGAGAGGCAATATATTTTTCCCTATGTGACAATAGTTACAGCTATTTTCCCCACATACTGATTTTATGCAATACATTCTGAAGACAGATATCCAGAAAAGAATGCAATTATATTTCCAACAGGTAGTATAAAAAGGCATGCAGAAACCATCCTTGATTTTAAAAAAAGACATGGAATTTATATTATATTATATACATTTCCTAGCTTGTGATTAGAAAATTCCACTCTCATCAACTGTTCGCTTTCTGGGTTTATTTGGCATCTTAAATAGGATGGAAAAGTCAGCATACGTGCAAAAAATAAAAAATACTTCCAATTTTCTCATCATTATCAAGCTTTAATCAATTCCATATGGCTTTTTAAAGCCAAAATAGTCAAAGATTCAAAATCCCTAATACTGATCAGTGTGAAAAAAGTAAAGTTTTGATTTATAAAAAAACTAAGGCATCGACATTTTAATAAAACAGTCATCAAAACTGCCGCTTAGAAACTATACAAGCATCAATAATCAATTAATATAAGTACTTTTTATTTTCCTCTGCAAAATGTTCCTGTTAAGTCCCTGAGAAAATTTTAAAATAAGATTACAATTACTTGATTTAAACAGTATGGTATTTTTTGAAAAAGAAAAAAAACCTAAAAATTATTTTAAAGCCTGCTCTCAAATTCTATGCCAACTTGTCACTGCTGTGTTTAATTCATCCCCCATCAAAAATAATGCAAGAAACAATATACTACATGAGATAGCAAAAAAAAAACTCAAAGAAAAACAAAACTCTACTCAAACTCAACTGCTTCATTTCATATACCTTCACCTCACTTAGGATTGCACTGTGAAGAATTTACTTTTCTAAATAGATAATTTGGATGTTTTATTCTACTTTAGAAATATTGTCAGGACTTTTAGAAGAAAAAGAGGAGGCAGAAATACCTGGATTGTTTTCCCAAGCCCCATGTCATCTCCAAGAATGCACCCACTTTTACGAACATAATGTCCATGGAAAAACTGGGCCCCTTCTCTTTGATAATCACGTAGGTATCTATTAATGGTATAAGGGATCTCTTCCCCGTTGTTGGACAGCTCAAAGGCAACTGTTGGTGACGGCAGGCTTCGGTCTGGGAAATAAGGCTTTTCCAAATCTTCATCATCGAATATTAAATTATTCTTTGTAGTTTTATTTGTTTTGATCTGCGAGAATTTGGTTGCAAGTATTTTCTCTTCCTCATTTTTCCCAAGGGAAACTGTGGCAAAACACTTCCCATTGCTATTTGTTTCATAAGACATTACTGTAGCATCTCAAAACTTCCCAACTTCAGGAAAAGGTGCAAGACATCTATCTCCAACATGCCACTGGTCTGTTAAAAAAACATGCAAAGAAAATAACAAAAAGCAGTGCACTGCAACAAAACTTAGAAAGAAATCCTTGCTGAAAATAACACTGGAATCTAAATTTGTATACAAAGCACTGAGCTTTTGTCCTTAACCGTGCTGAGGATCAAGCAAGATATGCATTCGAATAAATAAACCACTAAATTAGCCAAATTGTCAATTTGGCAAATGCATATTTATCATTTTGTGTTTACTGCATAACCTTCAACTTATTTTAAAGAATAGTCTAAGGCTAACTATCAAAGGATAAATGCCACAGAATAAAATTAAAGACAAGATTCCATGTCATATAATAACAACTCTTATATGTGGAAATTCCCGTGAATGTTTTTTTGAATAAATACATTAAGGACTGTACCAGATCACCAACCAAAGACTTACCACTATTTTTTCTCTATACAATACAGATGCTGAAGCTTATAGCTCCTAGCAATTGGTGTGAAAAGGCTGCTGCATCTGATATTAGAGGTAAGCATTACCACCTTATAATCCTTGAATATATTTAACCTCTTTAAAATTGCCCACAATGATTTACATCTGTAATAAAACTCCAGTTTTTCCACACCATCCATAATAGTATATAGTTCCACCACATTCCTCTTAATCTTTTTCCAGGTTAGAAAGACCGTATCAGCAAAGAGCATGGTTGCAAGATTTTTTTTTCAGCACTTTATGAAGAGCTTCTCTCCTAACCACATCACTGGCAAAGAAGATGGATGAGGAATTAGAATGGCGAAGTCACTATCCAACTCACTCTTCTATAAGGATGTATTGGGGACTTGTTTTCTGGATTTTTTTTTCTCCAATCCCCAGCCCCAACTGTTCTATTTCTAAATTTGAATTCAAATTCCTTTTCTGTTCAGTTTTTAAAGAATTATCTTGTTGAAGAACAGAAAGTCAATGGGAGAACCCTAACTTTCTCTTGTTTAAGAAATAAAGAAATCAATTAACAACTGCCTTGTTTAGTGACTGTTCAAACTTATGACAGCACTGGAAAAGTAGCTTTACCATCAGTCCTTGAACATATGGCTATCTCATGTGATCACCATTTGGGCACTTCACAATCATCACACATTTATAACTGCCCCAGTGTCTCATGGTCAGGCTTCTGATAAGGAAAGTCAATGGAGAGGCTGGTAGGAAAACTTGCAATGTGATGTCACTCTTAATCACAGGTGATTCACTTAACAAATACAGCAGAACATTGTAAATCTGGCAGGATCACATGATGTTTCACTTAATTAACACATTGCTTACCAAGGGAGTTTCCAGTCCCAATTGCAGGTGTTAAATGAGGAATTAAAAAATGCAATAGATTAATAGTAATTAAATTGCAATAGAGCAGACATGTCAAACTCGCAACGTCACATGACGCCGCACAATGTATCGGGACTGTTTTGCCATTGCCGGCAATGGGGTGAGCATGGCTTCTGCGTGACGTGTCCAGCCCACAGGCCGGCAGTTTGACACCCCTGCAATAGAGGCAATTTTACTTTTGATCTCTTATGTCCTTACATAAGATTGAAACATTGATTCCAGCATTATTCTCTCCTTTCAAGGTAATTTATAAACATAACTCACCTGTGAAAGTCACACATTCCTAATTACATGTAGGAATATATCTCCAAATGCCTATAAAATAGGAGGAAAAACTTAAAGGAACAACAATCAGTAAATGCCATCAATGATCAAAGAAGAACCCATACCAAAATTTTAAAAATTCAAAACACGTAGACAAAGGCATAGCAAATACAATGCAAATCAATCAATAATACTTCAATTTGAGAAAGAAAAGTAACTGCAGACTTTTTGCTATTAAAATACAGAACATCCCATATCAAAGAGGATTGTTTACACAGAAGATTGTCCTGAAGATTGTTTATAAACATAGTTGCAAAATCTGCCAAATTAGAGCCAACTAATATTTTGTGCTGTTGACAAAATCATTTTACTATTACTGTGTCAATACCCTGCTTCATCTCATTACTACCAAGACTTCTTAAGACAATTATAAATACTTCATCAATAAATTGAAGACACCCTCAAACCAAACTCAATTCTTAGCAACATAGTCTTCTGTTTACTTGTTAGCAATGTATAAGTACTTAAGAAGGCATTACTGCCTTCTTGATTTTTTTCTTTCCAATCTTGCCCACAGCCCTGTAATTTCCTAGTGGTCTCCCATCCAATACTAACCAAGCCAATCTCTATTTAATTTGCCACTGCTAGACAACAGCTAATAAACTACATGTCATCTATTCAATAATAGCTAATAGACTATGTGGGGAAAGAATGTGAGATGAAAATAAAACTAAACCCCAGCAACTCATGCAACGTTGTCATAATTTGGTCATAACACAGTCATACTGTTTCATCTAGACATAATCCTAAAACATAATTCCTGTTCTCGCACATCATTTACACATACAGCTCATCGTGTTTTTAACTAATGCAATTTTTGGGGTTTCCAAACACCTAAACAATAAACTTCAACATATGAGTAGCTTGCACAACACACGAAGGTAAAATTGGCTTGTTTCAGGTTTAATGTGTTGTGCAAACCTTTCTAAAGAATCACAGAAAGCTTTCCTGTTTGGCTTCTTCTTGCTGTCTTGGAGTACTGTATATAAAACAACACCTCATTATGTCTGTCTTATTAGATTAATGCTTAAGATGTGTGGACTTCAACTCCCAGAATTCCTCAACCAGCATGTTGGCAGAAGAATTCTGGGAGTTGAAGTCCACACATCTTAAAGCCACTAAGGTTAAGAAACAATGCATTAGACAGAGGAAGGCAATTTTAAAAAGCAGTGGGAGCTGATTTGAGCTGCCATCTCCCGCCTGCAATCATCCAAACACCACAACATTGTGACAAAGTGACACAAAAAAAAATCTAACTTCCTGCAGCTACCTACTGGTTCTCTAGCCTTTAGCAATCAGATATGATAACCCTTGCATGTTCCTATGTAACCTTTTTAGGATATTTCAAGTATAAATTTTGGGAGGTTAAGAGTCAAGTTGCCTTTCTTTCTGAAAAAAAATCAATCTGAATAAATGTTTTGTATATAAGCTGCGCACTTAGGCGAGGTAGAAACTGCTCTCCAATCTTTTAACTTACTTCATGGAGGGTCCACACACAAATATACTTATGCATATAGACTTGTAAGACGTTTACTTAAAATGTCAGAAGCAAAACAAGACATTTAAGATACATGTAATAAACTCATGCTGCCAGGATCTCCGCCTTAAAAGATCAATATTCTGAAATAACTTTCCCCTGGTGGAAGTTTCTGCTCTAAAACATCTCTTTAAAGTTTGAGAAAAAGCCATTCCCAACCTCCGTGACCGCCGCTCGCTTTATTGCCCCAAACCACCCTTGCCCACCGCTCTCCTACCATCATCTCGTCGCAGCCGATGAAATCCCGCGAGAATACCTTTCCGTTCGGCATCGGGTCTTTAAGAAAGGCTATTGGTGGCTGAGCTATTCTACTTTCGAAAGGAAATCACCATAGATGTAGAATCGTAAAGAGTCACGACTCAGAAGTCGTATCCTACATAGAAGCCTTTTTTTTGGTTAACCTTTTCCTGGAGATTGACCGCCCGTGGCTGCGCAGACGTGCTCAGAGTATCGAGAGGAGACAGAGTAAGGCTGAAGCTCAGTGAAGTTGTTTGTGAATTACATGTAGTCCTCTCATTACATGAAAGTGGTCCTCTCTTTACAGGTTTTTTTTGGGGGGACTGTTTAAAGGCATTACTATTGGATACTCTTGGCTTCATTTATTCATTTATTATAGTTATATAACCGCCCATCTTATGCACCATGACCCTAAGCCACGATGGCTCACAAATAATAAAAATAGTAAAAAGCATAAAAACAATGATAAAAGCTCTGATCTCTCACAAAAGCAATACACTCCAATATACAGGTATTCCTTGTTTAATGACCACAACTGGAATCAACAACTTCATTGCTAAGCAAGAAACTTCACAATTGCTTCTCATACTTATGATCGCCAGAGCGTCTTTGCAGTCACATGATCAAGATTCCAGCGCTTCGCAACCAGCAGGCGTTTACAACCATTGCGGCGTCATGCAATTGCCACTTTGTGTGCACTTCACAGCTAGCTTCCAACAGTCAGTGGAGAAGCGAGCAGTAACATTATAAGTTGTGGGCACATGTTGCTTCACTTAATCATCTTGCTCAGCAATGGAGTTGTTGATTCCAGTTGTGGTCATTAAACAAGGAATACCTGTATATTGGAGTGTATTGATTTTGTGAGAGATCAGAGCTTTTATCATTGTTTTTATGCTTTTTACTATTTTTATTATTTGTGAGCCATCATGGCTTAGGGTCATGGTGCATAAGATGGGCGGTTATATAACTATAATAAATGAATAAATGAAGCCAAGAGTATCCAACAGTAATGCCTTTAAACAGTCCCCCCAAAAACCTGTAAAGAGAGGACCACTTTCATATAAACAGTAGATTAAAGCTCAGCCTTTACTGGAGTAATTACAAATTATACTGATATGCTTTTCTTCATAGTCAAGACCCAAAGGAATCTACAAGATGGCCATGAAGAAGAGGTCTAATCTATATATAGATATAAATATATGCAGATATATAGCTACATACATACACACATATGTTACCTTCGAGACCGCCTCCTGCCACAGACTACCCCCCACCGACCTGTACGCTCTCACAGAGTGGGTCTCCTCAGGGTGCCGTCAGCCAGACAGTGCCGGCTGGCGACCCCAAGGGGGAGGGCCTTCTCTGTGGGAGCCCCCACCCTCTGGAACGAACTGCCCCCAGAGATCAGGGTGATCCCTGATCTCCCTTCCTTNGCCTGAGGGATTTTAAAGGGGTTTTAATTACTTTTAATTGGACATATTTAAATATTTTGTTTTAATTAAATTTTAATTAGGGATAATATGTATATATGTTAGTATTTTATTCAATTGTCAGCCGCCCTGAGTCCGTAAGGAGAAGGGCGGGATATAAATGCAATAAATAAATAAATAAATAAATAAATAAATAAATAAATAAATAAATAAATAAATAAATAAAAATGCAATAAATAAATAAATAAATAAATAAATAAATAAATAAATAAATAAATAAATAAATAAATAAATAAATAAATAAATAAATAAATAAATAAATAAATAAATATACCCATGCTCATGTCTGTATGTGAAAAACAGTTACAGACTCCATTGCTAAGACTGAGAACCAAAATACATGTCACAATGTCTGACGCTGACCATGTTCAGTAGCCAAATATCTACTGGTCCAGCCCATCCAATGGGGGAAAGGGCTGTTATACTACCGTACTTATAAAGCCTTTACAGTGCCCTCCTGCTAGAAGGGCTCATGGGATATTAGGCATTTTCTAGTGGGGGAAATAGTTGGGATTGTCTACTACGCTCAAATTGCCACTTACTGTGATTGAGTGCTGCAAAACTACTGCAGGGTTCTGCTGCTTGACTAAGTGGCTGATTGGATTAAGTGAACAGAGCAAATACGAACCTATGTGTTTCCATAACAACTAGGTAACCAGACATTTAGGGTCAAATGATGGTAATTCTGAAGTCAGAATTTGTTTCAAGATACATTACAGTTTGGTGCTTGGCTAGTCTTAAAAATGTTTTTGATTCCACTGATTCATTTCGGTATGTTATCTGTTTAATGGTTGATTTTAAGAAATCTTGTCTTTAAGGTTATTTTATTTTATTCTGGGGTTTTTGCAGCATAATTTCAGACACAGAATGGGATGTTATATTAGGCATAATATTTTTAAAAATACCTTTAATCAAATCAGAAATAAAGTTCAGTGACTCAAATCATTGGAAAATAAAATCTTACCACATAAAGATAGATGCCCACAAGTTTGAGTGTCCATTTATGATAATAAATTAGAAATAAATTTAAAAGACAAACTTATAGGTACAATGTATAACTTTTATATTTTCATTGATAATTATACTTGTTTTAATCTAATGTGATGCAACAAAAGAACTTTTGCACCAGGACAAAAATTAAGCATCAATTCTAAGTACAATGTTCTGAGAACAAGCTTTATTTAATACAGTCAAACATTCTTCTGAGTAAATGTATGTAGGTTGATTATTTTCTAAAGTTTTTCCAAAAGGACACGCTGTATAATATGAATACATTTAAATAAGCCATACCTACATTCTTATATTACAACATACTTAATTAAACTTTGTTGTAGCCTGCCCAAAGTTTTCTAGAACTGCAGTATGTTATACATGTTGTTGAATACAATTAATTAATTAATTAATTAAATACACATGTCAATTATTGATACAACATGCTGCAATCACTCCACTCCTGAATTCTTATTGTGTAATAACTTCAGGGTGTTTTATATTATTATATAGAAGTTTTATAAAGCATTTCTTCCCTTAGGCTGATGGTGCCCTTTTACTGTATTGTGCATGAAAGCATTGTATAAATTTGCAATTCGAAAATGCTTGTGTGGGAATAAATCCCATTGAATTCTGTGGGACTTATTTATGAACACCTAGGATTGGTCTGCATTTCCAGCAATTTTCCGTTTTCATCCCCTCCTATCTAAAGCCAAGAAATAGCTCAAAGCTATTGTTTTATGACAGTGTTTTTAGAGCCTCTAGGCAAAAAGACTTGCAGCTTGTAGATCTCTTTGTCATAAACCACAGCTTTTAAAATTTCTGGGTGTTGGCTTTGCAGTTTAAAAATAATGTGTGGGATTTTGAAAGTATATCATTTTCCTGTGTATTCAGACCACACAATCTTTTTGCAAAGTACTATTCTTTGGAGTGGCATTTAGCCAGTATTCAAATTCTGCTAAGCCAGTGAGCTTCAGTATTCTGAGCTTGTAAAGAAAACTTGTAATGTATGAAATTAAATAGGAGTGCTCCATTTTGGCCTGTGGAGCAACAATGTGCCAACAAGGGCCTCCCTAGAATATTTTGGATAATTGCTATTGCAGCTTTGCAGTGGGTGGTAAAAAAAACAAAAAAACAAGCTGGAACAGCTTCCAAATTATCTTTAACTACTCATTTTCCTGTCAGAAAGGGTAAAACTGCATGCCAGCCCTGCAGCTATCATACTTGTCCATCTGATTAAAAGTAATAGAAAGAAAACCATATGAAGTGCATGCTGAGGAAAAAAGGCCTTCGGATTTGAACCTCGAAGACGTTAGGAATTATGAATTCTTTTCTACCAGTTTTCTCCCCTTTCTTGTAATATAAGTGGTGAAATCAGGATCTATCAGCAATTTACAGAACTTGCATCAATTCATCTCCAAGTTATTACTGGTAGCTTTTGAACACAGGATTCAGCAGGCCAAACTTTTACCATCTGGACAAGATTGTCAACAAGATTATTTATTTGGTTGATTGACTGTCTGATAACATATCTTTTGCTTTAGATTGCCATACATGGTTAGTAACAAAATAAAAACCAAAATGTTAAAAACATATTTTAAAAATCCAATACTATAAAATACCTAGTGAAAAGTCTTTACCATTTCTTTCCTAAATGGCACAAAAACAGAGGCAATTCTACCCCACAATGAGATGTGGTTAATGGATTCCAAAATCCATCAACAAACCCATCTTTCAAAAACTAATTTAGCATGATATGTGAATCCAGTCCATGATGGTTTATTAACAACAAAATAATAGTGGAATTTGCATATTTGGATAATTCTGCCCAGTGATTTTTTCCCTTCAAGCTTGAGATAACTGGTTATAAGAACTGTCACAGGAAGCAAAGTAATACAAGACAGCTCCTCCCAGATTATATTCCAATGGGAAGTATATATTTAGTGCCAGGAATGGCAAGGATTGATAGTTTATGAAGATGTTGCAATATTAAGGGAACTTCTTTACAACCCAAGTTATTTAATAAACATTGATTCAATTCCTAGTTTGAATGTGCTGTTCTCAACTTTCTCAAGTTCCACCTCAGATAAAACAGAAAAGAAAACAGTTCCAAACTGGAAAAGAGTTGGGTGATACATCTTTTGAAGATATCCCTGGCTGACTGTAATAGTATTATGCTTTAATTTTGAAGAAAAATAGTACATGAGGCTCCACAACAATGAGGTATGGGACATGATATAGCTTCTCTCTTCTCAGGTCCTTCTTCTTCAATTGAGGTTCTTATAACATACTGTATTTGGGACAATGAGTTCACCCAAAGAAACAAAACAGCTGAAGAAAAATGCAAGTGATAAGCATTCAAAATCACAAAACATAGCTTAGTGTGTGTGGTCCTGTGCAGTACAGCACATTGGGCAACAAACCTTTTTACAAAGATTTTGATCAGCTGCAATTGTGTGACTTCATTTCTCCAAGTATTTTCCAAGTCTTGTTTTTCACCTCATCCTGAAGAATATGCCTCTTCCTTCCAGGTGATATCCATATGACAGTCTTT